TTCTTCACCCTACCACCCCCACAGAGATTTTCAGTCTAATAAGTGATCTTAAAAATAGTTGCTCCAGCGGTTATGATGAAATAAAAGCGGTGCCAATTAAAGCTGTTTCAGATTTAATATCTGACGTAGTCTGCCACATAACCAACTTGATCTTATCTACTGGAATCTTTCCCGAAAAAATGAAAATGGCTAAAATTTCCGTTTTGCACAAAGGCGGTGCCGCTGATAGCATCAGCAATTACAGGCCAATATCAATACTCCCACTTTTTTCAAAAATAGTAGAAAAAGTTATAAATTCTAGAATAATTAATCATCTTCATAAATACCGACTAATTTCTGCAAACCAATATGGATTTCAGAGAGGTAAATCCACTGAGTCAGCTTTACTTAACATTCGAGGAAAACTTATCAGCAATATAGAAAATCAATCCTACACTAAAGGCATCTTCGTAGATTTCAATAAAGCTTTTGACTCTATCAAGCATAATATTCTCTTTGATAAACTGCCACACTACGGAATTAGAGGCATTTCACTTAAACTATTGCGCAGTTATCTGACAAATCGTAGCCAGTTTGTGGTAGCTAATAGTATAGAATCGGACACTGAATATATAAAATTTGGTGTTCCGCAAGGATCAATATTAGGACCTATACTATTCCTTCTTTATATCAATGACATTGTTGCTATCCCCCATACGCCAGACATAGTACTTTACGCCGATGACACGAGTGTTTTTTTTTCATCCAGGGACCTATCATCTCTTATTCCTGTCACAAACGCATGGCTCAAAAACTTATCGAAGTGGCTTGATGCGAATCAGCTGCTTCTAAATGTTAACAAAACAAAATATATTGTTTTTTCCTCAATTAACAGACCAGTTAACCTTACTACCGAAATAGTATTCCAGTCACGGTCACTAGAAAGGGTTACCGAATACAAATTCTTAGGCATACAATTTCATGAAAACCTTCGCTGGACATGTCATGTGAATTTTGTGAAACGTGACATCGCACAGTCTATTGGCATGCTGAATAGATTTCGTGCCTTATTACCAATGTGGCTAAAACGTCAGCTCTATTTCACTACTGTTCATTCTCGACTGCACTATTGTTTACTTGTCTGGGGGGTTACATCTAAATGTAATATGACTAGTTTGTACTTAATGCAGAAAAAAAGTATACGATTTATTGAAAACCTATCAAGCCGCGATCATACATTCCAATACTTTGAAAAACATTGTATCCTGAATATTGAGGCACTGTATAATCAACGATTGTCTGAGGTTATATTCTCCCAAGTTAAAACTGACCGTGAATTATTCCTTTCTACATATACGAATACTGATACACACTACAATTTTAGAAATACAAACTTTATAAAAATCAGAACCAGAACAAATTACGGTACGCAATTACTATCTTGGCAGATTCCCAATCTTCTCAACCTCCACCCTGGCTTGATCGATATAATCGATCATAATTCAAACCTCTTGACTTTCAGAAAAAAATCAAAAACATATTTTTTACTTTCCGCATAATACTGTTGTCTTCTAAATTATGTGTACAGATGTAATTGTAGTAATGTAGTTCATATATTTTTGTTGCATGTTGCGAATTATTTATTTTTCATTGCAAGAGCGTATGTAGTGTAGTGACCTAGTTACTGTGTATTTTTTGTTTTTGTTTATGGTTAACTATAGCACTCTACCACTAGTCTGCCTGCTGCATCTGCTGCATCTGCTGCAAGTGTAGTCTGGTGCTAGGGGCCTGGTCAGGTGACTTACTGTCACCTTTTGCCTCAGCACCATGACAATCCTGTATTGTCAAAAGTTCCAATAAACAAACATAAACAAACAAACCTGGACAGACTGCATTGGTGTAACTTTTGTGGCTTTTTTAAAACAAATTTGTAAACCCAAAAGAAAAAACTCTATAATCACTATTACCTAGCACCATATGGACCCTTCCAAAATGACAATTTTCGAAATATTTTACATCCAGCACACTCGCGTGTTACCGTCAAAAAATTTGGCTGGAGTTGACGGTATTCCTTCCTTTATACTTAAAGGATGCGGCGACTTGTTATTTCCAATTTTGACCTTGATTTTCAATCGGTCTTCGAAAGACAGGTTGTCTCCGATTTTAAGGGAAGTTTTCACGTGTTGTTCCCATCTTCAAAGCTGGTTCACCAAAATGCACCGGTAATTGTTGTCCAATTTCACTAATGTGTTAATTCGCTAAGGTATTTGAAAAAGGCCATGCATTGTTACCTCATGCAGTTTTTCTCTTGGCGAATAAGCCTGCAACAACATGGATGTACGCCTAATAATTCCGTAGAAACAAATTTAACAATGTTTCCAGAATTTGCGGGTTCTAACCTAGGGCTTAAGAAACAGGTCGACACAATCAACTTTGATTTTAAAAAATGGACACCTAATTGTGAATGCAAAAGCTGCCTACGACGTATTGCTTCCACCTCGCGTTGTCGAAGGGCCTCGTCCTCTTGCCGCCTGAGACGTTTTGTATCACGATCTGCTTGCGCCTCACACTTTCCAAAGGCTTTGTTCCGTCTCCTAGCGCGTTGCGCCGCTGCTCGTTCGGCTGCCCTGTATTCGGAGACTTGACAACGATGGTGGATGCCTGCCTCTTCGCTCGATGTGCTGCGTTCTTCCGCTCTCTTAGTTTGTCTGCGGTGTACTTGCGTGGATCGGCAGGTTTCGCTACTGCCGAGGTTGCGGCCGCCGACGATGTAGATGCTTGAGGCGTCGCCACGTTCGTCGGCGTCAAGAGGAGTAAATGCGGCCGAGCGCGAGCTATTGTGTTCCTTTTACCGGCGCTGCCAGTGTGGGGCCCACAGCACCATGTGGTGGCGTTCCTTGAAACAATGAAGCGCGCCAGCCAATAGAAGCCTCGTTCCTTGAAACTATGACGCATGCCAGCCAATGGGAGCCTATCCATCAAATCGCTACTACAGACTACACGCTTTGCTCCATTGGGACAGGCATTCAGGTGCCGTTTAGAGCGCGCTTCAAAAACTGATAACGCCGGTTCGCTCCATAGGAGAGTTAATACTTTTGATATAAAAAGATTTTGACCTGGTCAAGCACACTCTCCTTGTAAGAAAACTTACAACCTACGGTGTCTCTTCACCTCTTTGCAACTAATTTGAAAGTTATTTATGCAAAAGAAGGAATTATGTTACATAAGGTGGAGTGCACTCAACTGCGCGCACCTTTCTAAATCTGGCGTCCCACAGGGTGGCTGCTTATTGCCTTTGCTTTTCAACATATTTGTGAACAATATTAGTGCATGTATTATCATATTTACTTGCATAATGAACACCCATTTTTCTTCCCAGAAAATTTACACACAATTGCGGAGTGCGTTCATTACAAGTGGTAATATTTTTGCATTTATGCACTTTGTGCAAACGTATATTAGGTGTCAATATGACACAGCAAGGTACTGTGGCACGTCTCCACTGACGGAGGCGCACCCACGGCTGGTCGGGGGTGCGCCTCCGACCAGCCGTGGGTGCTGGTCAGAGGCGCACCCCCGAATTTCAAAATCATTTTTTCTTATGCTTTGAACAAATGCTTGATTGAGCAAGTTTTAGTTGTTTAAGATCTGGGTGTTTTCTTAGATAGTGAATAAAAATTTTCTGAGCATGTGACATAGTTGAACAATGCATGTTGTTCAATGCATTGCATACCGCACATTGGAAGCGATCACCAGCATGACTCGGCAGTTTAAGAGTTATTCTTGCTTCTTACTTCTTTGTCGATCACTCATCTTGCCTAAATTAGATGTCTCTAGCGTCATATGGAATTTGTTGAATAAGACAAACAACACTGAAATTAAAAAGATACAACAGAAGTTTGCTCTAACTGCTTTATGATCGTTATTTTAATAGGCAGATTTATTTCAGTCATGAGCAATTATTGAAACTTAAACCTGCATTACCTCTCCGAAAGAAAGCAGGCACAGGATTTCTCCTTTTTGTACAAATGTGTCCACGGTTCGATTTCTGCTAAAACTTTCCGATTTAATGTTTTTCTTTTTTTTAGCCAGAGCTGTTACAAAGAAAGATGGAGCAAACTTTTCTTCCCTCAACTTTTGAGTCTGAATTGTTTATACCCGGCCGTATGTAACTGTGAGTACTGTTTATAGGCTACTGTGTGTGCAATTTTCTTTTACAATGACTGCATATTTTTTAAACATACTTTGCAAATGCTACCAGTAATGCTTTTTTTTTTGTTTCGACTATGTTGCGTCCAATTTTTTCTTTATTTTCAGTGACTTCGTATTGTTTCTCCAACAAACATACTGCATCCATGCAATATGTTATCTGACAAATGGAGCACCCTTCCATGGGCCTACGGGCAATTTAAGAGCAGCTGAAAAATCAAATAAATAAAAATATCAAGGGCATTTTCTGGTCGCTGTCTCACACCCATTCAACACAAAACTGGTAAATCTTTTAGCCTATCAACATAAGTGTGCACAGCAGGAGGGCCAAGCATGCTATGGCCACCCCCTGATGACTCCAGAGAGGTGCAGAATCGGTAAGGTCCCATTTGTGTTGCGCAACACAACAAAGACATAACCTTACTGAATTTGCGCCCCACCGGAGTCATCAGTGGGGGCCATAGCATGCTTGGACCCCCTGCTGTGCACGCCTCTGCTTATCAGCGATCCCTTTTGCCACTTACTCCCTCACTGGTGACAAACATAGGCCTATATAGAAGTGGCCTTCTGGTCCTTGAATCTTCATTGACACATTATGTTATCAATTACTAAAAAAAAAAAGTGTTCCGAAAGCTAAATACAATAATACCGTGATGTATGAAGACCTCCCAGCAGAGCCCTGCAATGGTTGCAGCTGCGCATGGCAACACTGTCATAACGGGGCAGTTTCAACGCATTTATAACATCACCTCCGAGTGCGACAATAAAATCCTAATATGAGGAGACCCTCAACTTCAAAAGGTTACACTCACCATGGAATCACAAGATCTGCTACTGTCAGGCCGTTCCATGGGGAATGGTGGAAGAACCAGGATTTCCCTCCACCGTAGTTCACAAACACCATCAACACTAGAGACAACCTAAGACAGAAAGACAAAGAACAGCTTGTCAAAGTTGACATATCTCCAATAGGGGCCTGCGGGTACCATAAATTTGAAATATGAATAGACACTTTTTGCCGTTTGGTTCACATACAATTCGAGCCAAGTAATTGGACAAGTTTCAAATCGGCAGCATAGCACACACCCAAAAAGTTAAGAGCTTCGTTCTTTGAAAAATGCATCTACTATTGGGTGCGCCATTCCACCTTGGCAGCTGGTTAGCAACGCCACCAGTGACTGTAAACGTTACGTCGCATAAGGAAGCACTACCCGCTCCTACTTCCTCTAATGCACCCGCAGTGTTTTGGCTGCGTCTGTGTTTCTCGATCTCGCTCCGGAGTAAAGGTTTGGCACCTTGACACTATAAACATACCTGCATCCAGTGTTGCTCTGTACATGTTTTCACGCCATTCGACCCGCAAAAGTTGCTCGAAGTTTGGGGTTAATCCTGTGTCTCGCAGTTCCAAGCGGCAACATGCCACCACATTTTCTCGTTTATCTGCGCTGGAAGGTGCCTCTACAAGTGTTTGCACGTTCAACGGTTTGGAAATCACTACGGGACTACATTCACCGGTGCGAGTAATCAATCAAATCTATGTGAAGTATTTTTCGCTCCTCTCGTTATCGGAGTGCTCTTCGCTCGCACACGGATCAAGGAAATCTGCTGGTAGAGAGACGATTTCGGCGCCTTTCGGCAGCGCATGGAGGGGATCTGTGTTCTCAATTTCTGCGTCTTCAGTAAAAAATAAAGTTAGCGCCGACCGTGGTCCCGAACGTTTTGTACGACATTACGCTTGGGTAACCTAACATTGATTAGAAACTAAGGCTGGCTGCTCCGCAGAATGTCCACACGAAATACTTCTGCTAGTAGCCGCATCGTGGCACAACTGTCACGTCGCATGCTTCCAACAGTCACTGCCAAGCTAAAAATGGCAGGGAGGAACTTCAGTTATATCGTCACTTCTTCAAGTTCAGGAATAAGCCTGTACCAGGGTCGGTCGAGCACACACACTGCAGGAAGCGGCCCAGACTCGGACACTGACCCTCTGAAGGCATCCAGGGCACAAAGCCTCTTTTTAGCTGGGGTCAGAGGCAGCTTCTCCATTTCGGCGGCATTCCCACTGATCGAGAGCACAGATCCAAGGACGTTCTCCTGCAGGCCAGAATCAGGGTTCCCAAAACCTGGAAACAACAAAAACCGACAAGCCATAAAGAATCCACCATGATCTTAAAATAACGATGCTTCCAAGAGTACTTCGTACCATGACACGACAATGATTACTACAGCGGAGCTGTTAAGGGCTAGTTTCCCCAGTTTCATGTCCGTGGACAAATAAATATCGACACAAAACTCTGGACAGCTACCGCTATCTATGAGCGACGGCGGTAACCAGACAACCGGCTGTCTAATTGCCGCCATCGCTTATAGATGGCGGCACCTTTTCCACTCTGGCTTGCCAACTTGCGGCCGGCCATTGCTTTCTTCTATGTCCTCGTCCGTTTTTCGCACCGTTTCCCACATTCTTATCAGTCGCCGTTTGGACTCGCGATGGGTCGGCCGCTTGCCCTTTCTTCGGAGGAAGAGCGGTAGTGGAAGGAGCGGCGACGTCTGCAGCAGCGCAAATGGTTCCGCAACCGCCACGAAGCTGCTATCACCTCAAGTTCCACTGCGTCGAGCGCTTCAGATTCCCTTGCGAAAGAAGAGCCGATCGCTCGCCTGGAAAGCCACCGCCGAGAACAGAAGCTACAGCTCCACTGCTCTTCCTTCTTCACCAAAGTGGAAAGGCTGAAAGATTTTTCTTCCGAAGAGGTGCCAAATTTGAAATTATTTGATAATAATTCTAGAATGGCCGTGGTAGTTTGAAAATATTTGGTCCCATGCGGACAAAATAACCAAAAATAAGAATGCACTAAACTGAGGTTCTCAAGCTTGAAGAATCATATTTGGCTAGAACTTCGAGGGGTTTTCAGTGCTACTCTGAAGTTCAAGCATGTCCAAGTCCTCGAGAACGCCATTTCATATACGGTGTAAATGCATGTAAGGGCTGCACTTTCTTTCAAAATTTTGAGACTAACTTTTGAAGTAACGATAATAGATATAAACAAAATGGTATATCAGATAGATAAACATACGCAAGCAGTGGTCTAGAGCGCCCTTATTTCGGTCTCGATCGTAGCCTGTGGTATCCTCGGTGGTCAAGTCTGACAGGCGTCAACAGCGGCCAGAGTTGCTCTTCGGAACTGTTCAGTAAGCGCATTTTGGTGTTTGCGCTAGCAATTTATTTCGTAGAATTTCACCCCAACACCCGTTTTTATGTCGAGTGGCTGTGGCGTACCAGAGAGACCGCCTTGGACTGAATAATTCATCCAGTACCGTAAGCAGATCTTTTCGACACCACATTCGCAACCCATTGCATGTCTGCCACACTCCAAGGAATAAGTGACAGTTTGAAAGTATTTTCCAACCATTCTCAGCTTGTGGGGCCCGCATAAACCAACTCAGCAAAACGAAACATTAACAAAGCCTAACTGACCTAACGACAACATTCGAAAACATGTATATATGATTTAACAGCAGCTATTGTCCCATGGGCTGAAGGCGAGCGTGGATGATACGAAAACCGTAAGAAGGGCAGCTTTCCGAAGCTTTACTCTCGTAATGTTCGTTATCTGCGCTCTGAAACGTGGCAAGAAGCGCAAGCAGAGGCTCATACATGGTGGGATAAAGATGGCAAAGACGCGGAGCGTGCGCCATACTACGGAAGCAGCCAGCGTGTGTTGCAAAAAGGGGGGAAGAGGGGGTACTGCTAATAAACAAGTAATTTCTAAAAGCTTTTTAAAAAATACTTTGGTCCAAATATGGGGGTGCGGCCCTTACACCAGTGTGGCTCATAGACACAATTATACGGTAGTACAAGGGTTTTTAGGGTTTGCAAGAGCCTGCGGGAATTGTGCAACCCTCGAAACATTGGCACATGAACATAGAAAAAATGGCCACGCATGGCATCTAATAGAGAAAAAAACATTTTTCACTAGCCAAGGGTTATTGAAGGCGTCAGGAGAGTGGTATGTCCACTACTGGCTGCGTATGTTTACATATCTGATAAACCATTGTGAATCAGACAGGTACAGTCGAATCTCGTTAATTCAAACTCTCTCCATTAAAACTTGCGGTAAATTCAAACTAACATGCAGGTCTCATCCTATGAGTCTCTATGGGAGGAAACTCTCGGTAATTCGAAACATGCTTTATTCCAACAAATTTTCGGTCCCTCTAGAGTTTGAACTAATAAGATTCAACTGTACAAGAGACTGATGCACCTACGTGCATTGAATTTACGGAGTGTTTTTCTGTGCAAGGGCTATACTCCAACCGCCACTGAGCTTACACATCAGTACACGCAGAGAGCGTGATCACATGGTGCAAGACCGACAATCGGCTGGTTTAATGCATCCACAGCTTCCACTACTTTGTCAGCTTGGCGGTGAACAAAGTATAGCCTACTGTGCCCAGAGACTCAACAAGAATTAGCAGCCTGATTTGGGATTTCTCACCTGTGACTCGTCGCCGCCCTCACCCTGCAAGAACAAAAGAATGGCTCCTTCTAACGTGACATTCAAATGGGACATGAGCAGGACATATATGCAGGTATGAACTGCCAGATGGCCAAAACTGTCAGGGTTAAAAACCAACATAGGTATAGTGCTTTCTACTCTTCCTCCTCTCCCAGACTTGCTCTCACTACCTCTCCACAAGTGGGTGATACCAATACCACCTAAAAGACAAGACTTGTGCCTTCCCCACCCCTCTTCTTTTAAACGTCATCAGTAGAGGATCTACACAGTGCCACCTAGCTCGATCAACGTAGCTCCCAGAACGTCTTGCAGCGTCTCAAAGGCGTGATGCTAACATGCGGGGACACCAGATGCGCGAATCTGACACTTTGTGGAGTACTGCCGAGACCAGTTATAACCAAGTCAACGGGAATCGAAAATCACTTTGCTATATCCGTTATTTCGTTATAACCGACTTCGGTTATAACGAAGTGCAAAAGGAAATGGGAAATTGTGATCGCTTCACTGTAGCCGCTATTTCGTTCTAACCGACTTTGTTATAGCCGGTCTCGACAGTCCTCCTGTCGAGCTTCGGCGGGTTTGGGGGTGGGTCAGTGTTCTCCAAACGATGATGCGCAGTCCTTGTCTTCCAGCTGGTATTGACAATGCCCTCCGACCCGACAGTGTGTGGAGCAATAACCTCGCTTTTCGGACCCCCTTCCCCACTTTGCTCGTCGGGAGGACTCTCTGCCCCAGAGAACGTCGTGGCCACTAGGTGGCCTTTGATCTAGAATTCAAAAGAGACTGAGCGTGACGTAGAAGCCTCTGCAGGAACCTTGCATCGTGTCATTTTTGCAGTGCCCATATTGGCTCATTTGGCCGCAGTTGGTGCCGGCAGTGGGTTTGGCGGCACTGGCGTGAAAAGATTGACCACTCCACATTTCCTCTTCACTCAGGTTGGTAGAAAACAAATTGACAGTTGCTTTAGAGGCGGATGTTCCTGTTTGCTAGTGTTGCCAAGCGCATTGCCATGTGTTGGATTGAAATTCGTCGAGTGAAAACCCAAAACACTCTAGATGGTTGGATTACAAGCAGGAGTAGTGTAACCAACAAAGATATTATATTTGCATATTTACATTTTATTTAACAAACGACGTGAGAGAAAAGTGCTCCAAGATACATGTGCCAAGAACCAGCGTTGATGATGCGATTCACGTGAGCCATGGGCACGGGGCTAGCCGTCACACCGTTCCAACCACAAACCGCCCCATGAACAACCTTTAATTATATCTTCTTGTAAATATGTCAATATAATATCTTTGTTGGTTACACGACTCCTGCTTGTAATCCAACCATTTACAATTGGTGACCCAGACGTGATTTGAGGTCAAGAAGCCGGATCACCAATTGTAGATGGTTGGATTACAAGCAGCTAGGAGTCGTGTAACCAACAAAGATATTATATTGACATATTTAAAGATTGTTCATCGGGCGGTTTGTGGTTGGAACGGTGCGACGGCTAGCTCCGTGCCCGTATTTCCCGTGAATTGCGTCACCAACGCTGGTTCTTGGCACGTGTATCTTAGAGCACTTTTCTTTCACGTCGTTTTTGTGCTTCTGCAACGCTAAAAACACTCCTCTAATTTAAGCTAGTAGAACCACATTGTCGTTCCCTGAAGCTGGAGGTTTTTCACAACTTGATGTCACATAAGCCTGACAATTTTAGCAGTAAAATAACAGAACCTTGTAAGCTAGACTGCACCCTCTCTTAATCTGTTTTCACTCAAAAGCTTCCTGCATGAAACAACCATAGCCAAGGAGCTTTGTATAAGTTATGATAAATATTCGAACTGTTGGATAGTCCCAACAAGGCTTGCTGCTACTCTCTAGCAATAAAGAAAAACAATGTTACCTTCTGCAACACCTTGAAATCTGCCATACTAAGACCCCAGCCAGGACGATGGCACCGGCTGTGATTAAAGCTGCAGGAAGGAGAAAATCATGAAATTATAAATATGAACCGATTAGTTTGTAGCAGTGAACCAGTTTTTACTAGCACAGTAGAAATTAACAAATGGAAAAGTGTGCAAAAACTTGCTATGCAATTTACATTCAATACTTTTTAGAGCGCAGCTCTTAGGCGCCCGTTGCCGCGTTTCGCGGCATCACCGCGAAAACTGAATTTGTTCATGGGTGACGTGACACGAAGTCATGTGACGTCATTTTCCCTGCTCAATTTGAGAAACTGAATTGGTGTTGAGATCACGTGGCGTCAATGTTCCAGCTAAATTTAGTGGGGAAACTGTGGGAGGAGAAGAAGAGGAGGAGGAAGGGAAGATGGGAGAGTTCGGAGGAGGAGGGTATACCCCACTCCTCCTCAAGAGCTGCGCTCTGATTTTGCATTACAGAGATTTGTAAATGTCTCATTTTAGAGCGTAGCTCTTAGGCACCCGTTTCCGCCTTGAGCGGCGTCGCCGTCGGCGTAACCGTGAGGTCACGTGACCGCCCCACCACTAAGGTCACATGACCCACTCTGAGGCCACGTGACGTCACAGGGGCTCCCGTGGTAGAGTAGCAGGAAGGATGATGAGGTGAGGAGGGAGGAGGGGTATACCCTTCCCCTC